TACACAATGGAGTATTACTCTGCATTAAGAAATGACAAAATCATAGAATTTGGAGGGAAATGGATGGYATTAGAGCAGATTATGCTAAGTGAAGCTAGTCAATCTTTAAAAAACAAATACCAAATGACTCCTTTGATATAAGGGGAGTAAACAAGGACAGGGTAGGGACGAAGAGCTTGAGAAGAAGATTTACATTAAACAGGGAAACCCTCTGTTCCTTTAAAGTAAAATTGCCTGGTGGGAGAGAGAGCAGGGAGGCCCTCACACCACTGAGCCATGAGACTGGGGATGGGCCACGTCCTCTCCCAGAGGTGGGTGCCCCTGTGGCCTGGCAGGGCCACCTCCCTTCCCTGCTGGGACCCTGCGTGCAGCAGCCAGCTCTGGTGCACACTCCCTCTTCTGCTGTCAGTGAGCACAGCACCCCTGGGGCCTGCTGAGCTGGCCTCTGTCCTCAGCCACTCAGAAAGCCCTTGTGTCCTGTGCCCTGCCGGAGTGGAGTGTGTCCACAGGGACAGTCACGTTCTAGGAGCCCAGCCTGACTGTAGCATGAGGACTCTGTGTCACACCAGGTGAACAGGCGCCCGCAGTGGTCTCTCCTCCTCCGCCAGCCCCAGGCGTAGCAGGCACTCCCGGGGTCCCCCTGGAGACACGTGTCATGACTCTGCTCTCCAGGAGCCCTCAGAGGTGCCATTCCACCCGGGACTTTCTCTCCATTTTCCTTGTTCTTGTACTTTTCTCCCAGGTAGTATCAGGTGAGCATGGTGTTCCCTTGGAGGAGGGTCAAGGAGAGCACTTTGGGGGGATTTGGAGCAGCGATCTGATGAGGCACAGGGGGAGCTCTCTGCGGAGAGCTGGTGCAGAAAACAGACGTGGAATCCCTTTGCCCATGTGTCCTCCCTGCCCAAAGCTTTGAGTCACCTCTCTGTGTCTGCCAGACCCCTGCATGGGGTCCTGGGGGAGCCTGTCACCCCTGGGGAGGCAGCGAGTCAGACAGGATCAGAGCAGTCCAGTGCAGAACATGGGAGGTGACTCAAAGTAGGAAGTGGTGGGTGCGGGGACCTTGAGCATCATCTCTCTCTGTTAGGTCTTTTCTCTTAAGGAAAGAAGATGAAAAATTGTGGTGTAGGGTAGAGATGGCTGTACTGTTTGACCAGTCCCAATCCTCAGGGACTCTCAGTGGGAGACCCTGAGAAGATAGCCCTGTGGCTCTCCCCAATGGTCCTTGAGTCCGCGGATCTTGACGACACCTGGGCTGAGCCTCTTCCCTTGTGACTATGCCAGGTTGCCCTGGGAACCCCAGGAGAACAGAATGGCTGGGACCGTCAACATCCCTGGGCACCGAGGCCTATTCCACACCCCCAGAGTCATGGACATGATTCGCAGGCGGGCAAGTATAAATACCTTTAAGACCAAAGATTTTTGAAGAAGTGACTATCGGGCTCACCAGCTTAATTGCAAGCACAACTCTCTCAGGCTTTCTTCTTGGTCTTCATGTCAGGAATTTTTGGTGGAGTCAAAATTTTAGATGATTAAAACCTGAGTCTAGTTTTTTCTTAATTCATGCCCCCTTGTCTGCTGATGCAAATGCTAACTTGTCTGCCACCCTGCCCACTAGACTTGGGCCAAGCTCGGCTTTTCCCTGCTCCTCAGACTGGTTCTGTGCTCCCCACCTCTGCTGATCCTCCTGGAGAGCACACTGGCTTCTCTGCCTGCCCCACCAGATCCACCACATCCTGGGTCCTGTGACTCAACGTGAGCCAGCCCTGAACTCTGCTCTTGTCCCTTCTTTGTACACCCTCGCCTTTCTATCTGCCCCCACCCGTCCCTCTCCCCCTCTCTCTCAGTGGTTGGAGCACAATACACAACATCCAATAGAGTGTTCCAAATCCAGTGGTATTTGCAGGAAACCAAAAGAACCTCTACGTGCATTTCTGCCTGCGAGATGAAGAAATGCCAAGAGAGTTTGCTGGGCAGAGAACACATAAGATACATAAAATGTTAGTCCACACTCAGAGGGTTGGTGGGAGCAGACGACTCGGTTACCCGGTGGGAAGTAAAGCCTGTGCTTTCCTGGCCCGCTTCCTCCTGTTGTGAACTGGCTCTGGACTTGGGTTTAAAGGCAAGACGGTCCCCTCTAAAGCTGCAGTCCTTGCTGAGGTGCCATCAGGAGACCTGGAACCACAGCAGAGCACAGAGCAGGGTAGACAGGCCCGAGGGTCTCCAGCAGCTGCAGGAGGAGCCAAAGGGGAAAGAAAGGCCATTTTTATTTCCTAAGAAGCTTTTATGAAGCAGTGGTGTCGCCCTAGAAGCGCCCTCTCCCCGCCCAGTCTTCAAAGAAACTTGTTCAACCACGGGTTGGCCTGTGGAGGTCTGGTCCCTGCAGAGATGTGACCTCTGATGACTCTGGCCCTGCACTCTGGGCCGCAAGCCGGTTAGATCTTCTGCCACACCCAGCCGCACCCTGTGTAAAACTTAGTAAGACTACAAAATCAGCACCCACCCCACCCCACAGTCACCAGCTCCTTCCATTTCAAAGCGTCTCCAATTGTTTGTCTCCAATCCTAAACAGTAAGAGCAAAGTTAGGTTTTTAAATGATAAAGTGGTCCTCTTCAATCTGCTGATTAAAATCCGCTCTTCAGCATGAGCCTCCTTTTCCCTCCATCTGTGTGGCCCTGTGCCTAAACCCTCACCATGACCCTCTGCCCCACCCTTTGTTATCTGACTGTCTGCCGTCTGCAGAAGCTACCTGGAGCCCCTGGAGAGGAGAACCAGGACTTGCCCCTGAGTCTCAGCATGTGGGTCTCTCACCCACACTGGACACGCGTGCTGGCCTTCACCTGTAAGAGATGCTCGGGTTGCTTACTGAATCTGCGGGGTGCACCAGTATCCTGACACACTCCTGGACCTCACACCCAGAGCCGCGGTGGGTCCACTGGGATTGCAGCCAGGCAGCAGGACGGCTTCAGCTCCCAACTAAATAGTCGATTGGCAGACACAACCCACTGCTTAGACTCCTCAACATTTAGGTCTAATAGCTAAAAAAAGAAGAAGAAATTTTCCCCTCAAACTCTGAATTTATACCCAGTGAAAATCATCTGATCCCTGGACTTTTTTGAAAGTTCGTGAGCCAAGAATAGCCTGGCTCATAGCCAAGAGTAGTACAGGGACTCTCCTCCACAGGAAAGAGAGGCAGCTATTAAACATTATCACAGCATTGTCCTTCCGAGGAAGTGAAATGAAACACCTTCCTTATAAATTTGGGTAGTTTTACAACCATGATGAAGTACGAGATGTGTTTCACTCTCTGTAGCACCATAAGGGGTGAAGGCGGGGGCCCTTCAGCACAGCCCATTTCTGAACCACCCTTTGCCCACTTATCCCACTCGTTGGCATATAGCCAAGGACTTAAAATCAGCATACTATAGCAATAAAGCCACATCAATGTTTATAGCAGTTCAATTCACAATAGATAAACTATGATAAATGGAAAAAGAAAATGTGGTATGTATACCCAATGGATTATTACTCAGCCATAGAGAAGAATGAGATTATGGCATTTGCAGGTAAATCAATAGAACTGGAAACTATCACCCTAAGTGAAATAAACCAATCCCCAAAAAACCAAAGGCCAAATGTTCTCTCTGATATGTGGATGCTAACTCACAATAAGTAGTATGGGGGGAGAGAAGTTCACTGGATTAGACAAAGAGGAAGGAAGGGAAGGGAGACGGGTGGGAATAGAAAAGACAGAATGAATCGGATATAACTTTCCTATGTTCATATATGAACACATGACCAGTGAAATGCCATATCACGAACAGCTACAAAAATAGGAAGTTATATTCTATGTAGTATGATATGTCAAAATATATCCTATCATCTAGAAAGAACAAATAAAGGAGTTAAAAATGGGTATAGCCCATGTTTCTTCTTTCCTCACCACCCGAGGCCAGTCCTACCCCCAGATCTGAGAACGTCCAGAGCTGGATTGATCTGGTTCCCAGGAGGGCCCCAGACTCTCTGTCTTTTAAGAAGATGCAGGAAATTAAAGAGTTCCACAGTGCAGATAGGTCGACCCCCAACCAGGAAGCCTGGCACCACTCCCAGGAGAAGACAGGTCCTGCCCACACCAGCCCCGCCTGTACCCACAGCCGGCTCGAGCCAGACATGACCAGGCCCCTGAGCCTGGAGGACAGCAGCTGTCCCCATGTCCATAGCTAGCTTATCAGGCTGCTACCAGCTCCTGGGTGAGTGGGTGTGTCCTGTGCAGAGAGAGAGATGACACATAGGGAAGTACGTCATCTTGTCATCACTGTGACATTACAAGAATTGCAGTCATGGCTTACCTCTTTATAAACGTGAACCCGTGCACCTTTCAGTCCAGCCTCAGCCTGCTGCCAAGCCGGTCAGCCATGCGGATCCTGTACCTGCTGGGCGTGCTGCTCCTCTTGTTCCTGATGCCCGTTCCAGGTAAGCCAGGTGGGAAAGAGGGGCTGAGAAGACTGGTGTCGGCGCATCCAGGCCTCTCCATTCTCCCACATTCCCCGGGTGGGACCAGGGGAACTGTCTTTGGCAGCTGACCAGCCAGGGCCAGCCTCACAGCAGGCTCCTGCTCCTGCTCCCTCTGCTAATAGCACCTCTTCACCCGTCTCCTGGTGGGAGGACTAGTAAGGAGAAGTGGGAAAGTGCTACTCAATTTCAGCCTCAGAGGAAACCTGGGCTGGTTCTGTGAGCAGAGGCTTCTGATTCACTAAGCTTAGTGGTCAGAGGGGGTCGGCCCAGGACACTGCACCCACAGAGATCTGCAGTTCCCGCCCCCCCAGGGGACATTGACTACTGCCTGCTGGGCTCCGCCTTCCCTTCACTCTTAATTTTATAGCCAAGGGGGGAAGGAAATAGAACCCTGGAAGGCAGCGAGTGAGTGACTGAGGAGCTCCTGAAGCCTGGAATTTGTCCCAGGACCCCTCCTAGAGCCCCCTATACCTTCTACTTTTCCTTTGCAGGTCACAGCGGGATCATCAGCGCAGTACAGAGGTACTATTGCAGAATACGGGGCGGCCGGTGCGCCATGCTGGGCTGCCTCCCCAAGGAGGAGCAGATAGGCCGCTGCTCTCTCCGGGGTCGGAAATGCTGCCGCAAAAAGAAATAGGGATCAGACGTGAGGAGAATGTTGGGGCGATCCCTCCTTCAAGTTTATAAAGCTAAAACCAAATTAAAATTTTTTTCAAAAACTTAGAAGCTTGATTTTTTTTAACACTCTGGTTTTGTGGAAGTTGTTACCAAGCAGGCAACTGAGAGAGGCTAATGACTCACCTTCCACTAAATACATCAGCTTCTGCACCGTGTTTGTCTTTAGTGGGTTTTGGACCTCAGCAACACTGAACTCTTTCTGGAACAATCCTTTGCTCCCTCATCCTCCATACTCCTGGGCTTTACCGTCTTTCTTTCCAGGACTTCATCTCTCTGAAGCTACCTCTAAAACCTTAATGCATCCCTCAGGCACCAATCCAAATCCTTCCAGAAAGTTTCTCCTCAGAGACGGGGACCCTGGCCCTCCTTCAGTACACTCTTTGCTTTCCTGCTGCCCAGGCCTCTGAGCTGTTGGCCTCAGAACCGGCATCAGCTTGCTGCTCCCACCTGTCTCCAAACACTAGCGCCTCCGTGTCTGTCTCCTCCCGCCTGCTGCACCCGGGCTCTGACGTGAGTGCTGCCTCTGAAGGTCGCTCGGTGTCTGCCCCTGTCCATTTGAATACTGTGGGTCCCCACACAGGTGGTAGGATGCAAAGTCCAGACCTTCCTGGACTGTTGGTAAAGCGCCCTGAGCGTGGGGGCTGCCCGGCCAGCACTGGCTGGACCAACTTCCATTCATGAGCTTTGGATGTTCCACTGTTTAAGGATCCAGCATCTGGAGTGGTGGTCTGTCCTCCCTGACCCCAGTCCCCCAGGCTAAGCACTATGGTGGAACAGCAAGACTACTGGGCTCTCAGGGATAGGGGAATGAAGACCCCTGAAGCAGCCCACACCCCACCCACGGTCCATCCAGGAAGCATCGCTGAGTGCCCTCCAACAGTCCACAAGAAGGGGCCAGACAGAAGGTGAGGACAGGCACCATCCAGTGGGGGATGTGACTGCAGACAGAGGGAAGCAAGAGGAGCTTACGACTGCCCGGCCTGCTACTGGGCAGGGCCTGCAAGTGCCAGGAGGGGGCCTCACCCTGCCCAGCAGTGCAGCCGGGAGGAGACTGAGGTCATAACTATGGGCACAAGACCCCTTCTGCAGAGCAGAACTCCCTCCCAGGTGCTGTTCCAGTCAGCCACAGGAAAGCAGAAACACCCAAGGTTTTAGATGAAGTCCAGGCACACACAGGGCTGGAGGCACACACAGGGCTGGAGGCACACACTGGGCTGGAAGCACACACGGCTGGAGGCACACACACGGCTGGAGGCACACACACGGCTGGAGGCACACAGGCTCCCACCAGCACCAGCCTCCAGTCTCCCCTGAGCAATGCCATCAGCTGCGTGGAGCTCTCCAGGGAGCCTCTGCAGCTGCTCTAACCCAGAGCTTCTAGAGATGAAAATAAACATCTGAATTAAAATATACTGAGCTGGACGAATGGTGTGTGACGGTAAGGATCAGAAAGCCAGCATCTATTTTAGCACAAACAAATGAGAAAGTGTGCTTGAGTGAGAGTGAAAGGAGAGACTGGGAAAACCTTAACAGTGGGCTGAGTGCAAACCTCACCAGCCCAGCATCGGGCTGTGCTTGGAGTCAGAGGAAGCCAGAGGAGGAGACAGGAAACAATGGCCTGGTGAGACTGTGACCCACAAAGGGAGGACTCAAAGAAATACGAGCAGAATGAACAAAGAAAGCCACACCAAGCACATCAGAATCGGGGTATTTTAAATGTGACAAAAAGAACATCTTACAAACAGCTGGAGAAGACACATTGCTCAGAGAGAGGATCAAGCACGCTTCCCACCAGGGTCCACAGGAGCCGTGTGCGGCCCAGTTCCACACCAGCAGGAGCGCTTCACAAATCAAAGCAAAGACCACACTATCTCAGCTACACCCAAAAGACCCAGGAATCCCTCCCGGGAAGTCCTGCACCAGGAAATGCAGGCGTGGAGGAGAGTCTCTGCAAAATGGAAAGAGCAGGCTGCCCACATTCCAGATACCTCAGGAAAGGAGAGATTGCAGCAGGTGAGAAACAAGAGCCAAAGGCACGCTGTCAGTCAGGAAGAATAGGCCACAATGACACCCATTGTGCTGTGTAATTAGTAGGCACTAATAAAGACCCACTTTGTACATCAAATACAAGGACAAAGTTAGGTTAAAGCAGAAAGGATAGAACCAGACATATAAAAACATTAATATAAAGAAAACATTGGTTAATTGGCTAATCTTGGTTTAATTGGTTAATTGGTTAATCTATTGGTTAATTGATTTCAGATCAGAGCAGACTTTAGAACAAGCAGTGTATTACCAGGGATAATGAGGGTATTTTTTTCTAAAGATAAAATGGTTAAATCACAGGGGAAAAAAGCAAATAATCAATACACATCTAATAGAATCTGATAGAAATTGTTAAGAAAAAATCGTGGAAATGAGAGAATAAAGAAACAAGTTAAGAATTGCAACAGGATATTTCAACATTTTTTTTCATTGTAATGGATGGAAAAAGCCGACAAAATAACAGTAGAGAAGCCTTGAATGACAGTGTCACCCAGTGTGACCTTTGTGAAATTTATAGGACACTCCACTCACTCACAGTAGAATGCATTAAAAGTCACCCAGTACGGCCCACGCTGAGCCAGGAAACAAGTCTCAAAAAGCAGAACAGTTTAAAACCATACAAAATATGGTGTCTGGACACAGTGGAACCCACAAAGCTATTGATAACAGAAAGATATCTGGAAAAGGTCCCAAATATTTGGAAATTAATCAACTTACTTCTAAATATTCAAGAAGGAATCACAAGAGAAATCAGGAAGCATTTTTCACTGACTGAAAAGGAAAGCAGGACACTCCAAGGTCCGTGGGAGAGCAGCTGAGGTGCTGCTTAGAGGGAGTTTCATGGCATTGAGTGATTTTAGGTAGAAAGGAGAGAAACTCCCTAGCTGACACTCTAAGTTTCCTCTAAGAAAGGAGATGTTAAAACACAAAGCAAATAGAGGCAGGTGGGAAGAAAATGGGCGCGCAAAAGAGAATTTTTAATAAAAATGAAGCTTATTCTTTGAGATGACGAATAAAAATTTTAGAACTCTCATTAGGTTCATTAAGAGGGAAAAATAATTAGCAAATCCTTGGTGGCTTGCATATACCTTGGGTGCTCATGAAGCTTGCACATAGCTTGGGGTAGACAGGAAAATGGGACATACAAAGAGTCGCCACCAGGTGGCAGTACCTCGCACCATTGTTCCTGGCCTTCAGGAGGCCTGTCATGCTCTCAGCCCTGTGGTCAGCTCAGGAGGCTGGAGAGGATGACAGCAAGACCAGGGGAGGCTGGCATCCAGCAGGCAGCTGTCACTCTAGCCGAGGGGCTGTGGGAGAAGGAAGGGGCGAAGTGGTCAGGACGCCAGGGCGATTTCATTAATGTGCACCCGGCAAGTCCGTAGGAGGACTTGGAAGAATGGCGGCTTTCAGTTCTGCTCCCACCTCTGAGACTTAGCAGCTAGGTGACCACGGGCCTTCACCTTTCCAGATCCCAGGACTGTCATCTGTACAGCGGAGCCGTGCCTACCTGGCAGGAGCACGGAGGAGGGATGAATGACATATTGTGTCTGGATGTGGCCATAAGAGCTATAGAACTGGCAAAATGAAAATGCACAAAAGAAAGTGATGTTAGAGGAAGATGTAAAGCGTTTTCCTTCAAAAATGTAATTTGCAGAATGAAATAGGACTCCCATTATAGAGGAACGATAACAGAAACTGAAAATTGAAAAGAATATTTTGGTGTCGTAATTTTAGTACAACAAATACTACTTTATATTACTAAAGTAGCATCTTGATTGATAATATAATTTTCCAGGCCGGCTTTCCTGAAAACCCATGTATTAGGTCATCAGCATTTATACTTTGAGCAACGTTGTTGTTATGATTATTTTTTATTTTGAGAAGAATCTGCTAATGCAACTGTGCTGGAGTAAAGAGGATCTGACAGCTGTAACAATGTTGAGATGAAGCTATTTTGAAACATAAATCTAGACCAACCAGTCATCCAGGTGAGAGACTTTGCTTTTGAAAGCCTGCCAACTGGAATGGAGCTGCACTCCCTCCTGGGGCCCTGAGCCCCTCTGCCTGGGAGGAACAGCCTCAGCGCCCGCTTCCGTTTAGGGAAGAGCTTTGGGGGTGCAGCACTTATCTCTCCTTTAAGGAGCAAGACACAACTGTACTTCTCAGCCCAGGCTGGATGGTTCCCATTGCACACCCAGCCTGGCTTCTCCTTGGGCTTAGATAAGCCATCAGTTAGACTCCACCTAAACTCGACACTTCCCCAGGCCCCATAGTGGCTCCATCTCTGGTTTTTGGTGAGGGAGCCATGTTTGTGCTGGCCTGTGGTCTTACAGGTCAAGGCCAGGGAGTGATCCTGCCTTTGAGAGTACCTTGCCGAGCTGGGGTCTCTATCAAATGAGCTTCATCACCAAGGGAGCAGCACAGCTGTAAAGGAGGCATCTGGCACCAGGTGCTGTCAGTCACAGGAACCCCTGGGGGGAACACAGCACCCCCTGATGCAGCTGTACTGGGGACCCTGAAGGGTACTCTTCCCCAGGGACACAGGGTGATGTGTCTCTCAGTGGTTTCCCTACTTCAGATCAACTTTTCCTCCTTCTCGAGTAGGTCTTCACAATTGCACAGAGATCTAGGCAGGACAGAAAGCAAGCAGACAAAATGCTACTGGTGGTTCTCTGTGGTGGGGACACAAGTGGGAAATCACACTTTTGTACAGGTGGACTTTTAAATGACAGTGAGTTATGTTTGTAATAATTGCAAGCATATGACTCACTAGAAAAGGGTGAATAGGATTAATGCCAAACACGGAAAAGATGGCAGCCACTAACTTACTCAACCTCAGAGCCCAGTGAAGCCCTTCCTACGTATTATGGCATTCTATAAGACTGCCGCTCAAAAAAGAAAGAAAAATACAGA